GAACGTAGCTCGTGCTAGTCGCCTAGACAGCGTGGCAGCGGCGGCAGAAATCAAATAAAACGAGAGAACTCACTCGCACGTACACGCATGCACGTAATCGCGCCGTACAGCGCCTAGTCTCTCCTGGTTTTCGATGGATTGGCGATGGCGAACACGCCATGTCGTTCACCAGCGGCGTACTCGCTTGGTCCGCGAAATTTCTCTCGTCATTCACGAGCAATATTTCAAGCAGGCGAGATGCAATCGGAAACATACATACATTCTTCCAGGGGAAAAACTCGCCAGTCTCGAGAAACGCGAGATCTGGAAAAGAACTTGATCTTCTCTTCTATTTCGCCATGGCCGCGATGCTGAGATTCGGCCCAGCGTTGGTATCGAGGTCGGTGAAACCTAAACCACGACGAGACCCAGGAGCCTGGGTCAGTTAATTTAGTTAATTTAGAGTTAGAGCTGCTCGGCGAGAAGTATTAATGTTTACAGACATTGTTCACGCCTGATGCTGGTCTCGCGCATCAGCGGCAGCAGCAGCAGCAGCAGCAGCAGCAGCAACCGCAGCAGCACCGCCGTGCCACTTAGCGATCGGTTAGTCTGTTTGCGATAGGATTAGCATAATACGTAACTCCTCGCTCTCATAGAACTCGACTCTCCACGTTGCGCGATAAATACATATTCTTGTGACATTAATTTTAGAGCGAGCGCAAGGGCTAGTCGTCAAGAAAGGAAAAGCGCCTTTCTCGTTTCCTGAGGATCAATCCGATATTTTCTCTATATTTTCCCGATTGGTATTGGATATGCACGATTAGTATTAGTAATTTTTAATACTGCTTGAACATGTTGTCACATTTTTTAGTGTATATCGCGCAAGAACGACGCACGAACAGAATTTCAATTTTGGATGTGCGTTCGTGCATCGAAGTATTTATCATCGTGCTATGCGTGCGTGCGTGCGTGCGTGCGTGCGTGCGTGCGTGCGTGCGTGCGTGCGTGCGTGCGTGCGTGCGTGCGTGCGTGCGTGCGTC